GAACCTGCACAGCACCTTTCCATCTATTGCCTTGGAAAATTGTGGATGCAGCTGGTCATTAAGTTGGGGGACATGGCATGTCCAGCATACCTTGACATGCCAGGCCTGGTACTGCAGTTGTTTCCTCCATGCCACATAGTCACCCCAATTGCCCAATGGGCAGCCAATCACCTGATGGGTGGATGACCCATCTGACTCCCCTTCCAAGACTTTGTACATTGGGCAGATGCCTGCATATGACTGCAGGGCTTGGAGTATCCTGTCTGTCATTTTGTTGGTCTTCTGCTGATGTGTGGACATGGCTGCTTGTTAGAATGATGCTGGTTGCTGTGATGTCAAGGGTATTGGTGTCATTGTTGCCTGCAGGATCCTTGCCTTGGGCAACTTTGCAATGGGTAGTATGCCAGTTGGACCATGATTTGGATTTTTTTTGCAGACACAACATGGTTGGTTTTCTGCTAGTTGTTGACAACTTGTGCCAGAGCCATCCATGAACTGGGTGATCCCAAATCAAAGACACCACTTGAGACTGATGAAGAAGTGTTCATACATGGCCCATTTGTTTTCATACATGATCCTGTCTCCTGCATGCTGGGCTGTGTGGTGTGTGTGGGGATCAGTGCAAAGCACTTGGCTGGTCAACCATCTTTGCCAGCTCATCCTTGGCCTTGGACAAACTTGAGCATCTCAAATGGTCTATCTATATGGATGACCAGTCACATGTGAGGGTAGTCATTGCCTGTGCTGAATGCTGGGGTAGCCACCATGACTTTCTTTGTTCCTCTCTGCCATTCTTCATATGCCTGTTGCAAATTTCTTGGGCATGTGATAAGAACCTTATAATACATGTCAAGGGTGGCTGTTCACACTTCCATTATAAGCCATGCCAATGCCACCCATGTGTCATTGAAAGATTGCCAAAAATGGGTATTTGTACATAATATTTCACACATTTGCACTATATCTTAGATAAAATATCACATATTTGCTATAATCTAGCCAAACCTGACCATTATAATGGCAAGTGGTCCTTTACATGCTGCTTACAATGGGGGCACATGACAATGGACCAAATAAATTTGTGACACCATGTGCCACTGTGCATCTGTCATCTTGTCCTTGTTGCCAATGAACAAGGCCAAGACTGTGGGATGTTCCTCTAGAGTCCATATGGTATGTTTGTGTAGTCTCACTACACAGTTGCTTGCTGGCTTTGGTATTTTACTTTGTTTGTGATCCTGGCAAGCCACTGCTCTGCCATGCTGCGGAGTTTGTATTTTGAACTGCTCCAACAATGATGGATAGTGAACCCCTGGAACCCCTCCTACTGATTATTGCAGCACTAGCAATGCTTGTCAGTGAGTCTTGCCTCGAGCTAGTGACTGAAGATATGCCCTCCAATAAGGATTGAGCCAACCGGACTGAGGAAGAGAAAGAGGCCCTTGTCGCTTTCTTTGTCGACAAGAAAATCGCTGGCAAGATGGGCGATGGGTCGTTCAAGTCTGCCACTTGGAGTGTGGCCACTGCCCACATAAACAAGAAATTCCCAAAACAAAAAGGTGTGATGAAGACCTCTGATATGTGCAGAGGGAAGCTCAGTAATGTGAGTATCCTGTTCCCTCCCCAGCGCCTGTGTAGCCTCATCAATCATTATTGGTACAGCTCAAATCCATACTGAGGGATAACAACTTATGGCGAGGTCATTCTGGAAAGCATTGGGATAATGAAAATGGGGTGAATATTATCTCTGAGAGTGAGGAAAGTGACTTCAAGGAGTGGTTAGTGGTACGTGTCCATCATCTTGGGTCCATCGCTTGACATCGATAACATCCATCGACAGGGCTGACCCAGGAATGCTATGCACCAGTTTAAAAACGTCAATTGGCCCCTGCTTATGGCGATGGAGTTGCTGTTTCCAAATGACCAAGCCTGTGGTATGCATGCCTACCATCCTATGACTTCTGCAGCATTTGTATCCAGCACCAGTGGTCCTGGCCTCTCCATAAACCCATCTAGCCATACCTCCAGTGATCCGGTGATGACCCCATCCATGTCCTCTGCCACTTTACAGTTCGTTACTCCTCAGGTTGGAAGCTCTGCCGGCATCATTGAAGATGATGTGATTGATCAAATGTCCATCGACAAGGTAGCTCCTGCTAACAGAATGAATGTGCAGTCCCAGCTATTTTCAACACAATGTAATCCACCCATGCTGACTCTCGCTTCCCCTATGATGTTACTTAGCTCATATCCCCCCTCAACTACCAGCTCTATGCCATCAAGTAGGAAGTGTACACATGCAGACGCCAACCCTGCTTCACCCTCTGCTGAAATTCCATCGGCACAAGCTGCACTCCAGTCACTCTCTATCAAGGATGATGCAGAACACTCTTCAAAGAAGTCAAAGAAGAGCAAAGAAACATCCACACCTGCTTTACTCGTTGGTGTACAGGGTTCCCTTTCATACCTTGGGTCTGTTATCAGTTCATCATCTGCAGTTGCTGCACAGCAAAGGCATACTGAGCGTATGCATGCTGCCATGGAGATGCTCGCATGGCAAGATGACAACCTTCCCTTGTTAGCTAAGATGGCCCTGATGGAAGCATTCTGTATGGATGGGGGGGCGATCGATTTATACCTCATGTTGGATGATAAAACCCTTCGTAGAAACTGGATTCAGACTTGTCTTCATAACCAGAAACTCATTCCAGATGACCTTGTGTTGTAGTACCTCCATCATATTTGTATCCCTGCTCACAATTTATCTGACCCAGTGTTTTGTTATGCAAAGAATGATCCAGAGATATTCATTTAGAAAGTGAGAAAAGTGTACATAAAACAATCTCTATGATCAAGTTTGCCCTCACTTCCACAGATACTCCTGGTAGTCATGCCACATTGCCTCAGCAATAGAATCGTGCAATGCCCTGGCTGATAATTCTTGAGGGTCATTGTCTCCCTTGTCATCCCCTGATAGTGTGCTTTCTTCTTGCTCGATGTCACCAACTTCCCCAGTACCCTCATCACCTCCACTATCCCCCTCTGGCATTTCTCCATCAGCATCTGGATCCCATTTGTGTGACATAATTAAATTGTGGATAACACATAGGGTGACAGGAATGAGCACCTGGATCTTGATAGGATATTCTGGAGGGAGAAGAAGAATTCAGAAATGATGCTTGATGACACCAAAGATTCGTTGGACAACATTCCGTGCAGACAAGTGATGCAAATTGAAAAGCTCTTCTTTGTTTGCAGGCCTGTAAAATGGGAAGTAAATGGATATCAATCACACAGTAAATGCATACCTTAATGATGCTTGTCGCCACTCTGCCAGGTGGTAGCATGTGTGGCAGTAAGGTACGAGGACTCCTTCTGACAATGGGAAACCAGCATCACCAAGGAGATACTTTCCTTGGGGAATATCGAGGCTTGATGTGCATGCTTCCTGGGAAATTTGTGCATCCATAGCCGAACCCTCCCAGCCAGTCAATACATAAGTGAAATTCATGCCAAAATCACAGGCAAACATGCAATTCTGGGACATGGTGCCCTTTCAGTTGTGGTATGCGGCACAGTCATGAAGTGGCAGGGAAGTGGGAATATGACTGCCATCAATGGCACTGATTGCATCCTTGAAGTACAGCCAGAACCTATGACTCTGCATGATTTTTGGGTGGACAGTAGTAGTTGAAGAAGTGAATGGGAGTGATATGTGCTTCGAATAGAAGGGTTCAGAAGCAAAGATTGTAACCATTTTGTGGAAGTATCTAAGTACAGATGCTGTTAGAAATGGGTGTGGAAAAGCAAATCAAAACATACCTTGAGATTGTATCATTGGATCTCTGAAAATGTTCTCCAACATGTCTGATTGGTAGGCCAGTGACACACATATACAAAAAAATTGTGAGTTGTTCTTCAAGAGAGGTGTGCTTTGAGGCTTGGTAGCTATGGTTGTGGAGTTTGAGAGTAATTTCTTTGAATGTGTGTATGCTCATACCTAACTCACAATGTATATGGTCTGGGTGACCAAGGATCAGTTCAACCAACCAAGCCTCTCCAGAAAGCGCAGATGTGTGGTATGGCCGTATATTCTTAGGGATCTCTCCAGAGAGGAGATTGACCATTAGTTTGGTAAGAATCTGGACAATGACAAGGACCATCTCTCATATGAGCTCTCATGATTGATGTGCTTCTTCATTGTCCATGGCTGCATGCTGAGCATTGATCAGCAATATGAGCACAATATGAGCATCGCAGCTGGCAGTCAACTTTCAATTTCCGACCATTCTTACTAATCACCCAACATATCTCTGTAGAATTGTCAAAGAGTGTAGTGAGACTATGCAAGCATACCATACGGACTCTTATCAGAGGGCATATCTTCAGTCACTAGCTCGAGGCAAGACTCACCGACAAGCATCGCTAGTGCTGCGATAATCAGTAGGAGGGGTTCCAGGGGTTCACTATCCATCATCATCGGAGTGGTTCAAAATACAAACTCCACAGCATGGCAGAGTGGTGGCTTGCCAGGATCACAAACAAAGTAAAATACCAAAGCCAGCAAGCAACTGTGTAGCGAGACTACGCGAACATACCATATGGACTCCTATGAGCTTCAGACCAGCAGCAATGGATGATATGGATACTAGTCCTCCATCTTCTTCCCTCCAGCTTTCCAATTCCTCCTGTGTGATCTGCACTGTTCAATCTTGAATCATGGTTGGGTTGATCTTTTCCAGGTAATAGATGAGCTCTGGTCTGTTGGAGGACTGCCTGAAGATCTGCACAGTAGAAAGGAGATTGAAAGTTGCCTTGAGCTCAGGTATGAAAGAGGGGGGGATGGTTGTGCTTAGCAGGACCAGCTGTGATTCTGTGATGTGGACCTGGTATATGTTGTCAAGGTGCTGTTGATAGTTCCAAGCAGTCATGGGTATGTGTGCCTCATTGAACACAATGTGCACAATGGTCTTCTTCAATGACAGCATCATCACTGCATGTCACCAGTTGCTTGTTTGAGCCTTGTCTGCTGATGTCAGGATGAGGTTATGAACTGTGTTCAGCTCTTCATCTTGCCCTCCCTGGTACAGCTGATAGGGTACATCCATCTGTTGTAGATGGTGTTCATAGTCCATGATGAGAGAGTTGAGGGGTAAGACAAGAATGGTTGCCATGTTTTCTTCCATGATGCTAGGGACTATTGCAAGCATGGATTTTCCAGCACCAGTGGGTAGCACTGCAATGATGTCTGTAGTGCCTTGCAGGACTGCCATCATGGCCTCCCACTGTTGGGTAGATTGCCATGTCACTGAATCATTTGCAAGGATCTGGCTCATGACCTGCAGAGCCCTGTCCTTGATGGTCAGCTTTGGCACATTCACAACATGTCCATGAGTTGTGCCAGCATTGAATCTTTTGCCAAGGCCCTGATGGTATTCTTCATCAAATGTGGGTCAGTTCCTCATTGTTGATATATATAAATGCACATTACCTTTTCCCTGGTGAATACTACCAGGTCTCTGTGATGCATGCTGTTCTGTCACAACTTGTCAATGAGTTATGCCAATGTTGCTGGTAGGCTCCTCATCTTCACTAGAGGTGGGGACTGGGCTTGGTGTATGTGTAGTGTGAGATGGTCCTGGGGTCAAAATGAATGAACTTTTCATTCCCAGACTCAACATTATGCTCCATACCTTTTCCCTTGATTTCATCTGAATCCCTGGTGTCATTTGTCTCCCTCTCTTGTTCAGATGCAAGACTTGGCTCCCAGTTGTTGTCACTGAGTTTGTCATCACTGTAACATTGGAACTTGCCCATGTCATCTTCTGAGAGGACCCTGTGCCTGTGCCTGTGCCTGGTTGTTGAAGGACTGGCATCTGCTTTCTGTTTGCCTTTTTCCTTTTGGTTGGATTTACTAGGGAGGCCTGAATCCTTTAGTGCTCTTGCCACAGTAGCCTGGATGAGGGATGATAACATTGGAGTCAGACCTTTCAGCACCTGTTGTGTAATTTCTTCAACAGGTAGTGCTGCATAACTCATTGATAAGTTGTGCACTGGCAGCTGTGTTGTGTCCCCTTTATTGGGCACTTCAGATGATTGTAGTTGGGTATAGGGCAGGAGTGTGCCACCAGGGAAGACCTTGCAGTGTTTCTGCCATGATGTGCTAGCATTCAGATAGGAGGGGAGGATGTCCTCTGCAGCTCCTGCCATGGCTTGCATGCTCAGCCCATAGACTCTGTTTTCAGTGGACCTCATGTGCCCTGCCTTAAGTGCTTCCACATTGTCCACCATGTCCTCCTCCATGATATCCTCTGCCAGGCATCAGAACTTGTGTTTCCAAGCAGTCTGGATGTAGCACCAAGGATTTATGGTCAAGGCAAATTTGAGGTGGGGCAGACTGTATTTGGACATGATGCTTGAAAGGTCCTCTGATGTAAACAGTCTGTCAAAGTTGACAAACAGGTGGTCATGGTAGAGTTGCCTGATCTCTGGCTTGGCTGGGAAGCATACTTTGGCAGCAGTCTCTGCAAAGGGGTGGGCCAGGGCCAAGTCTTGTATCATGATGTTGCTGGTCAGGCCATCAAGAGCATGTGGTATCATCTTGTCTCATCCAGTGAGAGCAGTCATCTTCATGTACTGGTACAGAATGGTGAGATGGTTGCCAAGCATGACCAGGTTGCAGGTGGGCCATGTCTTTGTGTTGCAATATGTCATGGCAGTCAGCTCTGTGCCCTGACCTGGGGCTCCACTCAGCATTTCTGCTCGCAACAGCAACAGTGCTCCCATCTCTGCATAGTCCTGAAGCCATGTCCTTAGTGCCCTCTTGTTCCATTGTGCCTTGCCATCAGCCAAGACTGTGGCATAGTGAGCAAACCCTCCTTCACCTGCCAATGCAGCTTGGATGAGTTGTACCTTGCACTTGAATGCAGTGTTCCTGGGATCTGCAACAAAGGAATACCCCACCTCTCTGTTGGTGAGGTCATCCACTATGCACAACTCATCAATGAGTTGTGCAGTGCCATTGAGGACACATTGTTCCCATAGCTCCACAAGCCTTGCCTCTGTGTCTGCAAACATTGAGCACAGATCCCCAAACTGGATCTCTTCACCTTTGAACAGCATGGATGTCCAGTTTTCAGTATCCTTCCACCAAATCTTTGGCAGGCCCATAGTGTCATAGGAGATGGCACTGGCATGATGTTGGAGGGAGCAAAGACAAGCAAATGTTGAAAGTGTTTTTTTGGTGAACCAAGGCAGAAGGCTGTCACATGCTTTGTGCTGATCCTCTGGGTCAGTGGATGCAGCACAGTTCTGGATCTCCATGAGGAATGTCAAGCACATGCAGTATGTAAACTTGGCAATGGTATTGGTGATGTCCTTGGGTTCCTTGAACATACCCCCTTGCTGCAGTGTCAGGAGTGCAAGACATTCTTCAGTTGGATCTGCAATGGTGCCAGGTGTGATTCATTTCCAAGTAATGGTCCAGGTGATGATCAACACTGCATGAATGCATTTGCAAATGACATCTTGATTGGCCCTGCCCTGCAATCCTTCCAGTAGTGTCTGCAATGCATTGGCTAGCTCTTCACTTCTAGGCACTTTGCGAAGGAGAAAGGCCAACAAAGCAACCACTGGGATGACATAGCCATCCATTGTCTTCACTAGCATGTGCCTATGTAATGGTGTATTTGAGATGCCCCTGTCATGAAGGTGTGTGCATAAGTCATCAATGAGTTATGCATGTGATGATGGTGCTTACTCTTTGACTGGGTCTGGTGAATTCAATCACTGCAAGACCAGCTCATGTGAGGTGTACAAAAGGTCCAAAGCATGCTTGAAATACTGAGTGACTGCCAATCGCAGTCCAGGCAAGGTCTCATTGTTGTCCTTGGGTATTGCTACCAGGTTTTGCAAGGTTTCCACTTCATGTGGAGCAGTAGCCAGATATTCATGCCATCATGTTGTCATGAGCCATGGAGAGATCATGTGCTCATCTTGATTGGCTTGAGGGGGATGCAAAAGTCTTGTTCCAATTCCTTTAGGAGGCTGTTTGCCAATGCTCCTGTGGAAATGTCTTTGGCATTGACCACTGCTAGCTCTTTGACTTCCCAGAGGATACAATGTGTGCCATAGCCCTGTGCATTCATGCTTTGAGCTCTGCACATCCTCCATGCTCGTGGTGCTGTGATATTCTTGTGTTCTTGTTGGTGATGGTCCTGTATTTTCTGCTCTGTTGTGTAGATTTTTGGACAGTGGTCACATGAAAATGCATCCCAGACTGCCAGCCCTTGGACAATGTCTCATGGTCCTCTGATTTCTGTGGGGAGAACAGAAGTGACATTGGTTTCTGACAAGGCACCATTGAGCTGGATCTGATCCATGTTCATGATGGAATGATTGGTGGCAATGTGGTTGGTCACATTGGTTCTGGGAATGGTGATCTTGCAACTTGTGCATACAAGGCAGAGAAATTCTTTGTTGACAGCCAGGTGGAGTGTGCTGAGATATGGGTAGTAGATGAGGCCACCCACAGTAGACAGCTGTGACTGGGCTGGTTGAGTGGTTTGTATGTTTTTTTTGGATGGAAGCAGAGACTGTGACCATGAGATCAGGCTTGTAGTATGAGCTTGCCAAATTCTTTTAATCTTACTTTGAAAGAAATGTCTTGAATGAACTCTGGGACTGGAGACCCCACTTGCACTGAATTGGGAGATGCTATGGATCCATGTCCATGCTGCAATGGCTTGCATAAGTCATTGATGAGTTGTGCAAAGGTGGGTGAGCTTACCCTGTCTGTGCTGCTAGCTGAAGACTCTGCTGATGGGGAATGCATGTTGATATCCCCAGCTGGGGCCTGTGTTGTGGTGTCAAGACCACTGGTCAAACTACCAAACCAGCATTTACTGATCCTTGATTGCACAACTCATCAATGAGTTGTGCAGACATGGTGCTAGTTGAAGAGGCCATGGCACTGGAATGGCCAGAAGCAGTAGTATTATATGATGAGGATGACATTTGACTCTGTTTGTACATGTTTGCTCAGTTGCAATTGAATGTTGAATGCTTTGATTTACCTTTCTTTCTGGGCCTAACCAAGTGGACTTGGCCCTCTTCATGTGTGCTTTCAAGGCATCTGTGGTTGAATACCCTGTTGGTTTAGGGCAGGATGGCTCAGATCAGTAGCATAAGAATAGACTGCCTGTCCTGTGCACTGTAACCTGCTGTCCATCAGGTGCAGTAAAGGTTGATACTCTGACACATTTTTTGTTGTGAGTGTTGTGTAGATTTTTGTTGTCAAACTCTGCTCTACAGGTGCTGCAGGTGTAAGCCATGCTACTGTGTGATGATGGTAATGGGAGAGATCAGATGAAAGAAAATGAAGGGAGGGAAAGAGGAAAGAAATACCTTTCTCACAATGGATGCTATATATACTGGCTATCTGTGGCTATGCAGAGTTGTTATCTATACATGGTAGGTGCTTTGCATGGCAGAGTAATTTTTTTCAGTGGCTATACACAGCTTTCAATGGCAGTGTGATTTTTTTTGGTGTCAGACCATTGCAACTCATCAATGAAGTATGCAGTGGCATTGGGCAATGCACAGCTTGTTTCTATATATGGTAGGCACTTTTGTGGCTATACACAGCTTTCACCCATATATGGTAGGTGCTTTCAGTGGCTATACACAGCTTTTGGTGGCAGGCTGATTTTTTTTGGTGTCAGGTCATTGCAACTCGGCGATGAGTTGCATAGTTGCCTTGGGCATTGCACAGCTTGTTTCCATATATGGTAGGCACTTGTGTGGCTATACACAGCTTTTGGTGGCAGTGTGGTTTTTTTGGTGTCAGGCCATTGCAACTCATCAATGAGTTGTGTAGTTGCCTTGTGCTATATAAAACCTGTTTCCTTATATGGTAGGTGCTTTTGTGGCTATACATGGCTTTTGTCTATATATGGTAGGCGCTTTTGGTGGCTATACACAGCTTTCAGTGGCTGTGTGATTTTTTGCAATTTTTTCCCTGCACAAGTCATTGATGAATTGTGCAATTACCATATATAATAGGCACTTTTTTGAATTTCCTTTTATAGTAGGTGCTTTTGAGACTGGAACTGGGCAGACAGTTTGGATTATTAGGCTGTGGAGGAAGCTGTGAAGTGGGAATGTGTGCAATGTGAGGTGGCAGAAAAGAGTGCAAAGGCAGCTGACAAAACTGTGAAATGGGAATGTAAGTAACCCAAGGTGGCAGAAGAGAATGCAAAGGCAGCTGATGAAACTGTGAAACTGGAATGTGAACAATGTGAGGCAGCAGAGGCAGCCAATATGAAGCTGCTTCAAGAACTGGAGGCATTCAGGAGGGTGATGGCAAGAAATTCTCTCCAAACTATGCTCTTCAGTATCATAGTCACACTGGACCCTCTGGAATACACTTACATTCATGATTCAATCACAGCTGGTCAGTTCAATGTGGAACTTGTACATTCTAAGATATATATGATGCTAGGTACTTGCTGACATGCATGAGCTTGCTGTCACAGTAGACGACAATGCTCAAGGATATTAGTAGCAGATTAGTACAGTGTACTGCTAGTAAGGAATATTTGCTATAAGATTGTCCATAAAAACATGTATGTTAAGCTCATGTCTTCATGAATGCATGCACTGGACAGGTGGCAACCAAATTACCACCAAATGGTTGATTTTCTTTTTGATCCACAACATTGCTTCACCCTTTTCTCAACACCACTCATCTTTTTTGGGTTTTGATTTATGGCATGAGCAGCAGTTGCAAGTATCATCTTGCCCCTCCTCATGTCTTCACTGGTGTGATGATGCCAAGTGGCACCTGTGATATATAAAACCTGTTTCCTTATATGGTAGGTGCTTTTGTGGCTATACACAGCTTTTGTCTATATATGGTAGGCACTTGTAGTGGCTATACATAGCTTTCAGTGGCTGTGTGATTTTTTGCAATTTTTTGCCTGCACAAGTCATTGATGAGTTGTGCAATTACCATATATAGTAGGTGCTTTTTTGAATTTCCTTTTATAGTAGGCACTTTCAAGACTGGAGCTGGGCAGACAGTTTAGATTATTAGGGTGAATGCTAGCTACATTCATCCTGGAAACAAAAGAAGTCAGTCAGTACTTACTTAAATTGACAGAGATGGTGACAAGGGGAGAAAAAAATGAATCATGTAGTGTTAAGGCCAGTGTAACTGAAATGAAATGGGAATGTTGCCCTTGATAGGCCCCAAGCCTATGGCAGAGGGAACAGTGGGATGTCCCAATGTAGCCTTAGAGGCTGTTGTGGGACATCCCACTGGTTGGCAAAGGGGAGGGTGGGATGTCCCAAGGTAGCCTTGGAGGCTGCTGTGGGACATCCCAAATCCCCTTATGAAAGTCAGTGGGATGTCCCATCCCAGCCTCAGAGGCACATCCTCCTAAGTTACCTTTGCAGACCAGCACAATGCCCCATGACAACATCAGAGGCTCATCTGGGACATTCTGCCCTCTGCAGATGGTGTTGCAAAGGTGACCAACACCATGTTCTATGTGGAGGGCTTTGAGATATTGGCTTGTCACACAAGTGTTCAAAAACCATTCACTTCTTCCTTCATACAGTACAAATTGCATGAGGTATAGACACAAATTGATTGAATTTATTATTGCAATTTTCAAGGCAAATGTGGAGGCCCAGGTGGGTCATCTCCCTGGCAACTAGTGAGATGTCCCAATACAGCAGAATCACATTGCAAAGATGCACATGAAAAGTACTATTGTATACTACTATGCATGGTGTGATGGGAGGGGATGTATAGGTCAAAGGATACTTTGTGGATTAAATCTGTCAGAGTAGCAAGGGGGCTAGGATTTCTGCAGCTATTTCAATGCTAATATAAGCTGCACTTTCAGGAGCAGGGACCCCAGTCACCCAAGGCAGTCTTGGGACATCCCAAATAATTGCATTTGAATGGATGGCTATGTGGGAAATCCCATCTGTCCCAGGGCCTAAAAATCTGCATAGCCCTGGGACATGACCAGATGTCCCTGGGCAGACCTTGGTCTGGGAGGCTATTAGGCTGGATGGTTTGGAGAAACTATTCAGCCTAAATGCTTATGAAAAATGGTTACCTGAAGTGTTATGGTCATGATGTTTTGCTGTATTATTTACATGGTCCTTGTAGGCCAGCAATTCTTCTTGAAGCCATGGGATGAATAGCCAATGAAAGACAAGCCTAGTCCAACACTGTCAGCTGAACACTACACAGCAAAATATATAGATACCGTTTGAGTGTGTTATCAATGTTGTACCACCCCTCTTTTGCACCCTGTTCTAAAATTGCTTCAAATCCAGGGGTAAACCAACACCAAAGCTGCAACCACATGATTTCAGGTGTAATATTTTTCTTGTGTCACATCCATCTGTGTTGATGTGTGCCAATGAGCTTTGCATCATGCCACTGTCAAAGCATGAACTGAGCATTTTGCAATGCCAAAATTTTTGGGTGCCAGGATTGCTTTAAGTTACTAATGGAATATCTATGAGGATTGTGGAAATTAGTACTCAGTGCCAGAAAGAAGATAACTTATGGCCAAGTTCTTTGACATCATCTAGGAAATATGTTAAGATCAGTTGTGGGTTACAGTTTGAGTGCCAGACACAGCTCCATAATATTTTCCCAGAAAATGGTTCAATGGCAGTATGTAGCACAAGTCTGAAGTGAAGCCACTTGTCATGTTGGTCCACAGCCCAAATATCATTAACACTGGCAGCCCAGAATGACAATGTCTCAGGCAGTGAGTCTTGTGCTGCTGAATGAGTGTGGGTTCATATGTAAGAAAGTAATCATGAATGATGCTTCAGCTCATTTTCTCAGATATTAGGTGTATGAAAGGTTGGACTAGTGAGAATGATCATTCCTACATCTGCTTTTTGTGAAAAAAGTAGGCTGATCATCTCATGTGTTCCAGTGTTTGGATAGGTCTGTCATAGTTCCACCATAGCCTCCTGGATAGATTCTGGCAAGTGGTCTTGCTGACATGTGCCCTGCAAGCCAAGACTCTCATGGATTGCTCTCAGCTTCATTAGCCTAAGATGTATTTTGTCAGCATTAAAATATGCTTGAGATCAAATAAATGCACTGACCTGATCCCATACTGGTTAGTGTTGATATACCTGTGCACCTCCTGCAAAATTTCCTTGTCTGTATGGTGGGCTTTCCACATGCAGTGGATGTGTGGTTCAATCTGCTTGAGAGGTGCTGTGCAAGCAGCTGTGTCAGTCAAAATGGAGCTGGTGAGCTGGATACATATGCAGAGGTTTCCACTGATTTGGCATTCCAGTTGAGCATGTGGTGACCAAAATCTTGGAGGAGGAGAGGAGGACAATTGTTCTAATACTTCTGACACAGTCCTGCTTGATAGCACTCCAAGGCTTCATTACAACATGTATTCACTTGACAAACATAATATCTAAACATAATGCATAAATGTGATCACATGTTCAGATGATCAGATAATCTTGTGGCCATCTCTTTCCCTCAATCTCACTCTTCCTCTAAGTCATTTGCCCATGTTGCAGTCACAGGGTGGTAATTTATGCATTCCTCTGACTTGATTGCCAACATTGCAGTTTCAGGGTGAGTCACCTGTGCATTCCTCTGACTCAATTTCCAGCATTGCAGTTGCAGGGTGGTCAGTTGTGCATTCCTCTGACTTGATTGCCAACCTTGCAGTTGCAGGTTGGTCAGTTGCACATTCTTTCAACTTGATTTCCAACATTGTGGTTGCACAATGGTCAGTTGTATGTTCTTCCAACTTGATTTCCATACAGTAGTGTGAGCAGAGTGGTAAGTGGTGTTCTTACTTGCTACCATTGGCTCACCTTGATTTCCATTTTCATATTACCAGGAGGTTTCCAAATGATTCCTCAAACCCAAACTTGAAACATCTCAATCTCCCCCCAGGCCAATTACAGCAGCAGGTTAGTTGATGACACTGCAATGGCAAGTTACCTACCTTACCCCATCCATTGCAGCATTGATGATGATTCTATGGGACCACATTACCCACAGAGATGACAGTCACATCTGTGGGGTACCCCCTAGTATGCTGATGCCATGATCCATCACCTGGTACTGCTTGTCATTCATGTATTTAAGTCAAGGAAAGCACACTGTATCTTCTTACATTGAGTACATACTTTGCTCCATGATGTCTTCATCCAACCCTGTATTTCTCTCACAATTCACTGAAGATGCTATTGCCATGAATATTGTGTTTGTGAATGTCTAGCATGTGGTGCCATTATACCCAAAGGAGCACCAAGGCACTACATTGCAACTATCAACATTGGCAAGCCTGGTAGGTTTGTATGTCAACCTTGTTGTGATAGGTACAAGGCCAAACTGCCAGCAACATATGTTCACAATGGTAATGAATGATCATGCTCATAGGTGGTACATTCATACTGATAAGATTATTGCTGCAGCATGCCCAAGTGTGCTGACCAGTGTCCCAGACCCACAAGTGATATGGTGCTCTGTGTCTGATGTGCGACACAGCTGTATGTGATAATATTGTTTGTGTATCAATCACTTGCTAATGCACTTGTCTTTCAGGCTCTGATCCTCCTCCTGTCCTAGCCATTGCTCACTCATGGATGAACACAGGAATTGCAAAGCCACAAGCCTCCCCCAACACTGCATCAAGTATGCTTACCACACTGGAGGGATTAGTAGCATTGATTATCCAGAAGCAAGGCTTCAAATCTTGGGTGCCTGGACATTGCAGCAGTCCTGATATTCATGTACCATCAGCATGGCAAGTCCCTTGTGACATGGCTCAGATCCATCTGGGAGAGTGCAATGTTTTGAGCCAAGTACAACAGCAACAGCATGCCCTCTACCATGCACAACAAGATCATTGGATGAACCAAGTGTATCAGCCTCCTCCCTCTGAAACAATATCCTTAGAGATTTCAGCCTTGCATGAGGGTGGTCCTCAAAAAGGTCATATGCATGCTACTCCATTTGGGGTAAGTTTCATTCAATGTAATGTATAGGTAGAATGATCTGTCTAACTCTAACTGTACCTATCATAATAGAGCATTTGCAAAGGAATGAAAGATATTGATGCATGTGCAACTGCACCTGAACTTGCTTCCATCACCCTGGTGAAGGTCACACTTCAGTCACCCCCCCCCCCCCAGGGGACCTATTAGGTTCATATATTCTTATAGATGTATCCACCTAATAGGTGTTGACCACCTGAGTATTCCCAGCAACTGCTGAAGATTCTCCAGAGCAAGGTGTCAGACATGGACTTTCTCCAGGATTATTACATCTATAATAGAGTGCCTGGGGTCCAAATGGGGCTTTCCCCAGTGGGTTAATAGACCTATTTCCTGGGCATCCTGGGGGATTCTCCAGCCTAAATGGACCTGTTCACAGTGTATCCTGGGGGATTCTCCAGCCTAAATGGACCTGTTCCCAGGTCATCTTTGGGGATTCTCCAGCCTAAATGGTCCTGTTCACAGGGCATCCTGGGGGATTCCCCAGCCTAAATGGTCCTGTTTCCTGGGCATCCTGGGGATTTCTCCAGTGCAAATGGTCCTGTTTCCTGGGCATCCTGGGGATTTCCCTAGTCCAAATGGACCAGTTTCCTGGACATCCTGGGGGCTTCCCCAGTCCAAATGTACCTGATCCCTGGGCATCCTGGAGATTTCCCCAGCATAAATGGACCTGTTCCCAGGTCATCATGGGGGTTTCCCCAGCCTAAACTGAGCTATTCCCAGAGGATCATCTGAACCACCCAATAGACCACTGTAAGAGTTGTCCAACATGGGATGCTCTTTGAATCATATAAACACCTCCAAGTTTGGCATTGATCAGTGAATGTATTCAATGTCCTTGATTGCCACATGGCTGCAGTATTTATTGTAAAGAAGGACTACACAGTGGCTTGGACTGCTGTCCCCCAGCCTAAATAGACCTGTTCCCAGGGGATCCCGAGGGTTTCCCCAGCACAAACAGACTTATTCCAAGAGGATCATGGGAACCCCCCCCCAATTTCAAATAGATCACCATAACAGCATGAAGGAGCAATCAAAGTGATTTGGAGTTTCCATGCTGCTGACAGGGGTGTGTCATATCAAGTACCTATTCCCTGGAATCTGATCAGAGCACTCTATACAATATGTAAAATAGCATGGCCATAGACCACTGAGGAGAGTGTGGTGACATCTGATGGAGTGAGTAGTATTTACTTGGTCATGGCAATTGCCCAGGCACAGACATGCAGAGTCTCCAACCACATATTTGACTGTGGAGGGAATTATACTGGGGATTCACCAGGCATTGCTAGGGATTCTCCCACCCACTCTGGGAATTCTCCAAGGAATGCTGGGGATTCTCCAGCTCACTCTGGGAATTCACCAGGCAATGTTGGGGAATCTCCAACCCACTTTGGGGATTGTCCAGGCAATGCTGGGGATTCTCCCACCCACTCTGGGGATTCTCCAAGGAATGCTGGGAATTCTCCAGGCCATGCTGTGGATTCTCCAACTCACTCTGGAGATTCTCCCACCCACTCTGGGGATTCTCCAAGCCACTCTGGGGATTCTCCAAGGAATGCTGGGGAATCTCCAGACAATGTTGGGGAATCTCCAAGCCACTCTGGGGATTCTCCAGGCCATGCTGGGGATTCTCCATGCCACTCTGGGGACTCCCCAAGGGATGCTGGGGAATCTCCAGGCAATGTTGGGGAATCTCCAACCCACTCTTTGTCAAGGCATTGATAAGGACAAACCAGCAAGGAGTGACTAGATTAGATATGTGGAATTAAATGAGTGGTTTTCAAAAAAACAGGTTTGCTCAAAGTCAGTGCCTATGCCACTGCTGCCTATGCCTTCACCCATCTTCCTAATTAGGAAGTCATGCTGTGAAGTCTTTTTTTTCTATGTTAGAGAGCAATAGTACTACTATTCTAGAGCATGAAAACCACTCATTTATATGATTCAAAGAGCATCTCATATTGGACAACTCTTACAGTGGTCTATTGGGTGGTTTGGATGATCCTCTGGGAATAGCTCAGTTTAGGCTGGGAAAACCCCCATGATGAGGACAAAATTAGATAGCATCATCTTCTACCCAATTCCAACTCTCCACCTTGAAGAAATCCATGATGACACTGACAAGCATGCCTTTTTGCTCAATCATGCAAAGTCATTCGGTGGCCAGCTCCACTTTGATACATCCTCATGTTCTCTCCTTGGGGTTGGGGGCTTCAAAACTGCTCATCATGCATACCTTCTCCTCAATCCCATGGCACCATCTCACCTAGGCTCCCTTCCAAGGCACCTGGTAGTACTGAAGTGGCCTTACCATGGAGGCAACAGTGCTAATAAACAATACAAACACTATGTGCTTGCTCAAGAACTTCCTTTGCTCTTTCAGGAAGTGAACATAGTCTACTGGGCTAAATCCCTCCTGCAGATGACTTATGAGTACATCAATCATGCTATTTGTGATGCAGTGGATCTATCCAGACCTGCCTGGATTGCTAACATTCCTCACTTGTGTTTTGTGGAAGCTGGACTTGCACTCATTTATTTGACTACATCAAAGGGGCTGTCCACTAGTGCCAGCTCTGTGGTCACAGCATATCTTCTTGAAGAGAAGACTGAATGTAGAGATAGCAAGTTCATGAAGTTCATCCACAATGTTCAATATTCTTCACTCCTTGAACCTGACCACAACACATTTCATATTGCAGTTTCTCATTTTCATGCAACATGTCCAATACATGAAAACAGACAGTCTAGCTTATATATCTGACTATCAAGGTAAGTCCTCAACACTGCCCACCACAAAGACTGATTAACATGATGACAGGGAGCATGACTCTGTTAATGGTCCCCCAGATTCTTATTCATCCATAAGTTTACCTCTGTAGCCATTGCAAGTTTCTAATCCAATTACATTCTTTCAGATCTGTTGGTGGGGGCATGGACATCTTTAGCAAAAGTAATGTGGAGATTGGGGTGGAACTATTTGAGCAGGACCATGTCTGCAACCAGTCATGGATGAGGCTGAACTTGTCAAGAAAACACTGAAGACCATCTTGGGACCCCTCCTACCTGAACCAACCACACAAGAATTGCTCAATGTCCTCAGTACCTCACTAGTGATTCAGAACCTTATCAAACACTCAACAAATGATTGCTATGCAGTTGTTGTTGGAAATCCTACTGGGATCCATCACACTGAGTAAGCACCATCTCTTCCTATGAAACATCCCTGACTCATTCACTCAATCCCACACTAGAGAAGCAGCTGTGTGTGCAGGGAGTTCATTTCATTGGGCAAAATGGCAGCAGACCAACACCCTTTGCAGGGCAATGATGTGGATGTTGGCAAAGGGCATTGAGGATCAAATACCACCACTGATAACTAAAATGAGTGTCATAGCTGATTCCACTGGTAAAGTGTCATCCCCCCCTGACACTTGCATGCTGACCATGAAGCCCTGAAGATGCTGATGCTGATGAATTAGTGAATATGTTCAATGATGTCCTTCATGTGGAAGCTTCAGGGCCCAGTGCTCATGTGAGCACAGCAAGTCACTCAGCAACAGCAAATCCTCTCTTTGGCCCTGTACCAATGTGGCCTGCACCTGCACCTTGCCAAGTGTGTGGACAACCAATGGATATAAGTGAGGATCGCTTTCATTGATATCCAAATGCTCATGTTAACCTCAGCTCAAGGATCTGGATGATGTGCAAGCCCAATTATATACACCCACATACAGATGCTGAGAGGGATCACCAAAAGCTGCTACTACTTCACTGGAAACATGGTCATTGAAATTTATTCTGAGAAGCTCAGTGCTCAAGTGTCATGATATCTTTCCACTCATAGCTATATGCATGAAGCCATTGATGCTATTATATGGGCATATGATGCCACATTAACTGACCATGTATTTGCTCTTCACCTTTCACAACATGGCCTTGCTATGTCAGAAGGTTTGTATTTGTGGCATTTGATTCAGTTACATCTCTTGTGACTCTTGCTTGGCTATTGCTTGCATGCACAATATAGACAATATTCTTATTTGTTCTTCACAATACATACTTAGTACAATATGCGAAGGACAGTGCATGGAACTACCTAGAAAAATGTGCAAAACTCCCAAGTCCAAAACACAAAACTCCCAAGTCAGAAACATAAAACTCCCAAGTCTGAAATGCAAAACTCTCAAGTCTGAAGTGTAATTTATTGAAGTTGAATATGTAATTCATGGTACTTGAGGTTCTCAAATGCCAAACTCCCAAATGCAGAATGCAATTCACTGAAGTCTGAAATCCATGGGAGCATGGTGCTCCAGCTTTCCACAGTTTAGGGCTAGGGTTAGGGGTTATTGCATTTAGTCATAACTAATGTAAAACATACAACCATGCAGACAGTTCTTTGAGCCACTGTACATGTGTGCCAATGTACAACAGTTGGTGCATGTTCCTATGTGTCAATCAATGTGGATGGATGACCTACTACCTACACCAGTTGCAACTGGAGAACTGTTGATTTGATGCTGCAAAATTTAATGTAAGATTTAGTAGGCAATGCAGATCTCATATTTAATTAGGATATGCTGGCTCTCAAACTTCAGACAGGCAGCATTTCAGAGATTTTGCAGATGGATAGGTGCTTAAACATCATAGATGGGTGGGTACTCAGAGCCAAAGGGTGTGCATCATAAACTGCAACAAAAGTAAAACTACTCATGGCATCATGCAGATGGGCAGGTTGTCAGACATCATGTGGATGGGTGGGGGTTCAGACATCATGTGAATGGGTGAGATCTCATAAATTAGCAACATGTGCAGTAATGTATATACAACCATCTGAACAGTTGAAAGCAGGTAAACTATTGAAGTGGCATGCCCAACAACCTGTGCAATGCCCACCACCTAGCATAGAAATGGTTGATTTCTTGACCCAAGTGTTGACAAGATCAGCATATTTTGAAATATTTTTGATGTAGTATTTGACCTGCTCCTTGATATGGCCATCAAAATGGTCTGTGATTGGCACCTCAGGCAATGGCCACAAGCCCTGGGCCATCATCAACTATCTGCAGCAATGAGTATAAGTGGCATACCTTAAAGAAATCCCTGGCTGCAGAAAACAACTCCTTGCCTTGTAATCTTTGGGAATCCACTTGGTATTCCTCAGAACAATATAGCCACCAAGGGGATGTAAAGTTGGAATGGGGATCAGCTGCATGTGGGGTCCAATGTGGGATGATGGTGCTGATATTGTTGATGATGCAAAACACACTAAGGGGAATTAGCTGCATATGATGGCAGAAGTTAACCCCATCATGTTGGTGTCTGAGGTACACATAGTAGCATGCTGGGAGGGGAGGAGTATAACCTGTGCATGACACTGTCACCAAAATCAAGCTATTAAGCTGATTCTGAAGGAATATGTATCAGTCCCACATTGTGAAAAATTGATGCAAAGCCTACCAAGTCCATTGCTAGGTTTGCAAACCAATGCATGGGCAATCCCACAATATCAGCAGTCTACTTCAGGTGTACAGAGGCCACCTCAATCCAGCATTCCAAGTAGAGGATACCCATCTCTACCACAGACTGGTGAGATGGGTGTAATTGGCTGCCAATGAATGGCTCAGGACAATTTTCAAAGGTGGAACACAGATATCAAATGACTTCCATGAAATTGAGCATATTAACAAGTTGAAGGCCCTGACAGGCTGCACCATACTGGTTCCTTGCAGTTGTGCCCAATTCTCTTGCAATGGTATTTGCAGCCCACACAAGGTGCCTATTGAGGGTGGCATCAAAGGGCATGTTGCTGGGAGTGGTGTTCCCACAGTAGTGAGATACCACTGCATGTAAGGCATGCAGGACTAAAATTATCAAGGTCAATGGAGCATCAGCTTAAACTCATGCCCATACCAGTAATTTCAATGCAGAACAGGTGCCAAACCCCATTGTTCCATTTGAAGAGACTGCTCTTCAGATGGAAGTTCACCTACATAATCAATGGATATCACTGATCATGAATGGAATGCATGAAATACTCACTGTTGCATATTTCTTTGAAATGATCCCTCATCTCTGATCATTTTGGCATGCCAAAAGTCAGAGGGTTTGCACCATTGTCATGTGACCATATCCCCATGCCCACCTCCATGCAGTGTGGCCATCTTGGACAGCCAGATGCACTACAGGCATGATGGTCACATGACCCCATACCCACGCACTGTTTGGCCATCCAAGATGGCCAGATACACAACCCCAGGTGCCATTCACCCTCCAAAGTCAAAGTTAAAGTTTTTGACTTCAACTTCAGCAATGTAGTCATGTGATGATTATATAAGGTGTGCATGCCCATGTGAATGTGAAGTCCAAGTTTCGGGCTTCTGCTTCAGTAATGTAGTCATGTGATGATTATATAAGACAACAACACAACTTGTAGTTCAATAGATAACATTGTGATAACAGATCAAACAACTCTGCTATGGATCTTGAAGCACAGCAGCTCCAGCACCATCATCACTGTCTTGCTGCACTTGTAGTAGCAGTGATGATCCAGGTGCTATGCCTCTATGACCTCCTTTTTCATTCTGACTCAGAACCAATCCCCTACCATACCTCAATCCTGACTGGTGAGGGGTGGATGCTAGAGCTCCTGAATGGTCATCCAGACAGGATACAGACTTGCCTTGGCATCAGCCATGGGGTTTTGGATCACCTGATGCAGGTGCTCACCCATCATGGTTTTGTGCCTTCTCACAATGGAATTTCTGTGGAGGAACAACTTGGGATATTCCTCTACACCTGTGTTACTGGGTTGTCATCCCAGCATGTTTCTGAGAGGTTCCAACACTCACCAGGGACCATCACTAGGTAAGGAGTTCATTGGACTGTCTGATATTTCTCTCACAATTTTTTAGATATTTCAAAGCAATGTTGGCTTTATTTTCTGGGGGACAATTCTATGCATCCCAAGTGCAATTCCCCACCAACAACACTCCCATATCAACTATGATTACTAGTGACCCATGCTTCCAATTTTTCCAGGATTGTATTGGTGCAGTTGATGGCACTCATATTTGAGCATTCACTGCTGCTGAGGACCAGCCTTACATGAGGAACTGGAAGGGCTACCTATCTCAAAACTGTCTCTTCATCTGTGATTTTGACTTCTTCTTCACATATGCCCTCACTGGCTTTGATGGGTCAACTGCAGATGCAACCATGTGGCATGATGCACACAGGAATCACTTGCACATGCCACCTGGGAAGTACCTTCTTGCAGATGCAGGGTTTGGGACCTGTGATGCACTTCTGGTTCCCTATCAAGGTGTTCATTACCATCTGAAAGAGTGGTGCCAGGCTGGATTAAGGTAAGTTGCTATTCCATCCTGCTCAGTGTACCTGTAACTTCTATTTTATAGACCTCAAAACAGAGAGTTATTCAACCTTTGCCATGCTGGACTCAGAAATGCCATTGAACAGATATTTGGTGTTATAAAACACAGGTGGAGGATTCTTCAAATTCCCCCTGAATATAGCATCCACATCCAAACTCAAGTACCTGCTGCTCTCTGTGCCCTCCACAATTTCATATGGTGCTATGATCCAGAAGAGTTCTTTGACCCTGAACTTGCCATGGACATAGGAGAGGGTGATGGTATTGGAAGCCTTGGTGATGGACCAGCAGATGCTGCAGAGAGGAGAAGGGCTGATAATAGGTGTGACAACATTGCAGAGGAGATGTGGATTGACTATCAGCACCAGCTTACAACTAGGGGCCTTCTCTGAGCCTGAACATTCAGATTTCATGGTGTACAAATATATGTTCTTACAATTGTTTCACACTCATGTAGAAAAATAACTTCCATTGTCAAAAGGAAGCTAGTCATAGTCATGTACATTTTATTATGTACATATTTGTATAAAGGGGGGGGGGGACTTGAAAAGATATGCAGGGGGGGGTACATTTGTATATTGAAAAAAAAAAACAAACACCTATCTCTGCCCATCCCAGTACTTCATCAGCCAACACTGCACCCAAATCTGCTTCACTGGCTCCTGATGCTTGAGGAAAATATTCACTTCATCCAGAGATGCACTGAGGAAGTAGTCACTGATGTCGATCCAATTGTCTGTCAAGAGCTGCAGCATGTTGTTGATGTAGTCCATGGCAGCATCAACAAGGGGATTTGTAATGTATGGAAAGCCAGACACTCATGCCACATAATTTTTGAACTCAGCACTGAATGCCTGAGCACTTACTACTTTTGAAAAAAACTTTCAGTGAGACCCCAATCACCATTGTGCTGTTGATAGATGTCCACTCGTCATTGTGCCAACATCCGAAGTTCCATTACCATAGGTTCACATGCTATAGCGATAGATTCGATGGTCATTTACAAAACAGTAGCATAGAGTTTTATCTAAGCCCAATATCCCATAGATCTACAAGCCACAACAAAAATCTTGCTTCACTAACAGACATACCCTGGCCAGCAAGAAAAATAACCAGATCTTTGTTGTTATGCACATGCTCATGCGCCTGGATAATACATTTGACGTCCCCAGCGCCATATCCATGGGATGCAAGATAGCAAACTGCTAGGTCACCAAGTGGGTGAGCAAGGTTCCGGATGCATGAAGTCGAGGTTGGATAATAATTGCTGGAAACAATGCCACAAAGATTATGGACATGACTATAAATGATGGGAGAGATCGTGGCCTCTGACCTAGATGAGACAGTTGATGTCAGAGTGGAGGAGTGAGATGTAGATGAGGTATGCAAAAAGGTCAGGTCAGATGATGACATAGAAGCATGTGAAGGCATTGAGGTAGTTTGTTGAGATTGAGGTGAAATGGATAGCAAGCAATGGAGCTGTTCAGCCAAAGAATTGGCTGTGGCCGGAGGGGGACTTTCACCTATCTGGTCATGCGTCAACATGGGTGGCATGCATTGTGGGACTCCTTTGATGATCATGAAGGCTAATGCAGTCCAAAACAAAGTAGTTTCCCTTTGTACATGGTATTTAAATGACCCTTCAGCACGAGTTGCACTCTCGCTGAATGAAATCAAGCTACAAACTACATAGTATGAGATTAAAGACTCACACTGTGCGATGAATACCAGGGGGCAAACCAATGACAATCGCATAAAAACTACTTTCATCTTCCAGTAACATCTGTACACATGGAATGTCGAATGCTGCAAGTATCTGCATGTAGTCTGCATTGTGTGGAAGTGTATCTACAATGGCTTGAAGAGTTTTTGCAACACGGCTAGCTTCAGAGCTTGTTTTACATTGGATCGCAAGTGGGAAGGCTCATGTCTGATGGCCGCATGCAATAAACAGACTATGGACTGTGTTTTAGTACTCATATTCGAGATCAGGTTGTATGAACAACATACCAGTCCTCAGACCCATAAACACGGGCACCACCATCACCACCAACAAGAGCCCAGCAGTGTTCTGAGTTGGCCATGTAGATGTTGAATGCCAAGAGCTCGCCATCGCACCACTTTATGTACCAGAATTCACCAGGCATTCCAAGAAATGGGATGGATAAGAATGAGTGCAAGGCACCTAGTGAACCGCTCTCGAGAAAGTAAGTTGCTTTCTCAACAAAGACATCAATACAGTTATACTCCCAAGGGTTAACCTCGCCAATCGAAGAACGACGCCACACGACCAGCACATGTTGTGTGAATGCTTGAGGTTGTGCGATCTTAACCACTCTCATATGTAAAAGTACTACATGAGGTTTTCATTCCGGACACCACAAGACGATAACGATGCAATTGTGTAAGATGGGGAGACTACCAGCCACCAAATTGACAAACTAGCTCGTAAGGAAGATGTGAGATAGGCTACATTCACAGACTGGCATCAATGTCCTCCTCATCTGCCTCATCATCCTCCTCCTCTGAAGAAAACTGAGCCACTAGAAGTGGAGGAGTGGCATCAATCTCATTGTAGATATCAGGCTCATCAATGTTCAGAGCATCCATTGTCTGTAGATGGCTGGCCTCTGAAATGAACAGGAATCAGAAAGGATTGCTGTTTGGATTATGAAGCAAACACTTACGAAGGCCCAGTCCATTTGCAATGCCACCCATATAACCCTCCACTTTGTGGAGAGCATGGAGGCCTGGCAGGAGATTCAATTCCTCGGAAGCTGCATCAAGATGGTCTTCCATTGCTGTCAGAATGGCAGGCACTCCCTCACAGTGCCACATTAGGTCCAGGATATTGCAGTAGACAGTCCATGTGGAGGTGCGTCCAACAGAAGGGCTGCCCAATTGAAAGTAACATGCTTCGATGAACACTTTGAGAGAAGGGGGCACAAGGTCAAACACGATGTGGTTGGTATTGATGTACAATTGTCACACTTGTTCAATGGTGTCTGGAGAAACCATTATCTACATCACGCACAAATACATAGTAGGTTAGCATTGAAATGTAAGCTACAAGATAGTTAGGACATGCTTTGAAATTCAACGCCCCATAGTCCTCTAGGCATGTATAGATGAGTTCCGGGATTCCATGAGGCAAAACCTTTCTTTTGTTGCAACACTTTCAGCTGTTATTGATGCGGTCTTGATAGTTGTTTAGCTCAACTTGGAGCCAAGGGATGAATACCCATTGAAAAACCATGCTGTGGATGGGGTCACTTTGAATACATACAGGGACAGGCATGAATGGCATACTTACAGCTGTAGCATGTTGTTGGGGTCATACCAGCCAGAATCTACACCCATATCAAGTAGAGATTCAAAACCTGGGGAGAAATGGCAGCGGAGCTGGGACCAGGCTATCTCTGGCTTGATATTCTTCTTTGTATGCATCCACCAGTGCTGAATGTAGCCCTCAAGAGCTGGATCATGCATCTGCCGCAGTAGAGTTTGTGTGTTCGCAATTCCGAAGTTTTCGGTACCTGGATCACTTTGAGTGATCATGGGAATGTCTTATGGACTGTGAATTTGAGCAAAAATAGGAACATATGCATGGAACTTACAGCTGAATTCTTCGACAGTATCGAGGTAATAAGAGAGGATGAGCTGTGGGTTGCGATTGGAGTGCCAAACCCTGGTCCAGAGGATACAGCCTGAAAAAGGTTTGATGCCAGTGTGTAGTGTGAGGCTGAAATGCAACCACTTGTCGTGCTGGTCCACAGCCCATATATCGTTTACACCGGCTGCCCAGAAATGGCGACACTGAAAAGGATTGGCTTTGCAGCTCTTCAATAAGTGGGGTTCATAGGTAACAAAATACTCTTGGATCATGCTTCTACATGCCAATTTCTCATCAGCATTCTGCAAGTGAGCGGACAATTGGTCATGGTTTGCTTACCTTGAGACAGCCATACTGTGCTCATGAAAGAGCAGCCCAATCATCTCACGTACCCCTGCATTGGGGTACATTTTCTGCATCTCAACCATGACATCTTGGATACTCTCACAGGTGTGTCCCTGTTGGCGGGTGCGAAGTAGTCCAAGCTGCTTTCAAATTTCCTGAAACTTGGTGAGGCTGAGATTATCAGTGAGTCACAAGTCACTCCCTTTCAAAGAAAACCTCACCCAATACCATAGACACTCGTATCGATATGTTTGCAGATTTTGGAAACAATCTCCTTATCTGTCAGGTGGGCTTTCCACAGTTGCCTGATGTGGGGCTCGATTTGGTCAAGGGGTTCTGTAGGTCATGAGTAATACATTGTCATATTGCTGGGAGAACTAGCACTTACAAGTAGGTTTATTCTGATTCTTTGAGAGGGTAGACATGAGAATGGCACACTGTAAGCTGAAGGGTTTCCACAGTAGTCAGTTCACCCTGACTCTTAAGATCTCCTGATGATGTGTTAAGACGTACCAAAGCTGTGTTATAGTGTTGCAATCGCAAGCATTGCAGACATGTGCAAGTCATTGTGATCACAAGTATTACAGACATGTGTATGGACAGCTGATCACTTAGGCTCTCTGTTCAACCTTCTGCAATGGGCACATTCACCGTGTGTCTATCTCCTCATGCTGCTTCGATGGGCTGCCCTTGTCCGATGCTCAATGAATTGGGTTCTTGTCCTACTCTTTTGTGTGACCATTCAAGACAAACCATGCCTCAAGGTTGTGAATACGACCTTTTACCGTGGATTCTGTCACTCGATTTAACCCCCTGTGTCCTCAAGGTATGGTCGTGTTCCTCTGAAACCTACAGGTAGGCTTCCAAATCCATTCGAGGACCCATTCTAAAGTCCATCAGCCGTCTGCTACACTTAAGGTCAATGCTAGGGCCACTGCATGAAACATCCTTGCATATTTCATTGTCTGATTCCATCTTGACTGAAGTAAGTGCCCAGAATTTATCTCATGACAAACTAGCTAATGAAGGAAGTTTGTTACATTTTTATGGTCAGGCCTTGTGTGTGCCAGTGGTTCCATCGACCAGGATACCAGCTGGTCATCATCTGGTGGATTGTACTTAACCTGTTTACCATCGTTCTCGCCCATTCACTCAGTATCTTCATTAACTTGTGATCCTTCCCCCATGCAAGCATCTGTTTCAAACCTCGTTACTCAGTTTACTGAGGATGCATTCACAAAAGAAGACAGGATCTGCCAGTGGTCTTGGTGCCAAGCTCTGATATGCAAGGGCGAGCCTTGCCTCTATGTTGCCACCTATGATCCTGCTCAGCCCAGTAAATTTGTCTGTGAAGTGTGTCATAGGTGGTACAAGAACAAACCTGCCACCATAGCTTGGGCACAAAACACCAATGGTACATATGTTCTGCTCTGTTCATTGGGCTTGGACTCATACATCCTCAGCATTACCTGATCCACAGTACATACGTCAGTCCATAAGTGCTGCACAGTCGTGAGGTATGTCCAATCTGTGCATTCAGACTTGCTGCTAAACTCAACTTATTCATAGCTTTGGTCAACCCCCCTGCCGCCATGGCCATGTCAAATGCTGCTCCAAACCTTGGCAACTTGGCAATGCTGATGCCTCCACCACCAATGCCAACTGCTCATCACAACTCCAAGTTTTCCCCTGCTGGTCTGAGTGTCCAAGTGCCATCTGCTTGGCAGAATGTCCCTTGGCCAGCAAACCCTCCAGCAAATGCTGCATCGGGCCACATGATTGCGCTGCCACCTGGCTCCACTGGTTATAGTGCACAGCATGTGCATTATGCAGCTCAACATGAACATTGGGCATGCATGGCTCACAATCTGCCTCCTGCAGAGACAATCTCCTTAGAAATATGGGCAGTCTTTGAAGCTGGGGGCAAAAAGAAGAATCTGTGAGCAAACAATGTCGGGGTAAGTTTTGCTCGATTCAGATTGTATGAGCAGTGTTAATTGAGTTCAATAGAGTATCTGTGAGGGGCTGAAAGACATTGACACACTGAGAACTGTGCACAAACTTTCAGCCATAGCACTTGGCATTTTGGTACCACGCATCAAAGATTACTGCCCACAGTTTCCCTGGCGAGAGGAGGAATTCTTCGTGTGTGACAGTAAATGGGTTGACCTTTCCAGACATTCGAGCCCAACGGCATACTTTTATGGTGACTGTCTCCATGACAGCAATCGGAAAGGATCAAAAGCGAAGGTTTTTAAATCAAAACAGTTCATGTTATTCATCATTGTACCTGTGAATCAATGGGAAGAATCTGAAGAATTTCGAGAGAAGCTCTGCTCGAGCCCACCTGCCCACGAACAGCAGACATCTCAGGCTGGCTTGAGTGCTTCTCTCCCTGGTTCTACAGTCTCGACGCTGGTTGTACCTCGGAGCACGATGATTTCTGAGCCATCCACTCTTTTTTTCTCCAAGGGAGTGGTTTCTACGACATCAAGTAGCATGTTTGATCGCCCAATCTTGCACGATGTGGCACATCTTCAGGATGGAGAAAAGGTATGCTTAGCTCCAACATGATTTTGACCCAACCCATCCACTAACACATTGAACATAGGATATGGTGCCACCCACTCATTCAAGTGTGATGTCCGGTAAACGCCACCACCATCATACTAGTAGTTCATCCAGTGGTTCTACTCCCCTTCCACTGTGAGTCAAAGTGAGGTTTAGTGGTGAAAACCAACCAAAACCAACACAAAAGACAATGAAAGCAAGTGGTGGTGTGCCTATGCGGTACCTAGATGGTAGAACCTGTTCTTTGGGAGGGTTTTTGCGAGCTACAACACTCAAAGATGACTGCTGAGGGTTGGGGGTGCTCCTGACAAAGAGGGAGCAAGAATGTGATAGAAAGTGATAGAGTAGACTGCTGTCAGCCTACAGAAGGATGGATGGTGACTTAATTCAATGTCCTAAGCTGTACTGAGCTCAGGGGGGGCTTGGAGCGAAGTATATGGATGATAGATGATGATAAGTGAAGTAGATGATAGCTAGACCCTTAATAAAGTCTCAACTATCGAAGCTGATGAATGATTTACTGAGAGATGATAAATTGCAAGCAAGAGGGGCTCTCTGATGTCTTTTTTTTTTTTTTGCTACCTAAGTACAGTGACTTATATACAGTACAGGGGTGTTGCCTATGGAAAACAAGGTGCAAACACTTGGTAAGTGATTGGTAACTGATGAGTAAGGAATGTAAGTGATGGGTAATCATCTTGGAAAGCATTGGTAAGGATAAGTAAGCCAAAAAGCAAAGAATCAGTAAGCAAAGTCAAAAGATTGGTAAGTATTGGCAATAGGTAAGTCAAAGACAGTCAGAATGTCACAGTATGAGTCAAGCAATGTCAGGTACTGGGAAAGTGCACTGGAATCACATTAGGGGGAGGCTGTGCATGTCACATCTTGAAGAGATTGCTTCTAGGCCAAGGTGGGATGACAGAGAGGCAGTGCTGATCTGATGCTGATACAGTACATCCAAAAGCAGACAGGGTGAGTCAGATGTCAACAGGGGTCAAGCTTTGGGGGTCTGTGGGGTGACAGGAGCATAGGGGATCACAACTTTCCCCCCCAAACCATCCTCTCAGTGAAGCAAATAAAAACTTCATGAATGAGGCTCTGTTGGAAGAGAGGATGAAGGGGGAGCATCTTCTGCTGTATCTTGCAACAAGGAGGCAAGATGTGCATCATACTCATCATGGATGCGATCAGGGAGAGTGGAGAACAGTAGATTATACTGTAGCTGTTGCAATTTTGGAAGAATGATGGACCAGACTGGTATGAAGACATTGCAGGGGGCAGGGAGGAAGGATCCATATGCTTCTTGGACTGGAGAGACTGAAACAACCACATAAGACCTTTCCAAGCGAATGACAGACCTGAGGTGACCAAAGAACGTCCTCCTGGAGGTCATACTGACAAAAAGAACATGCTGTCCAAGCTGGATGTGCTGAGAGGGGGCAGATGAGGGCAGGATGTACCAGGATGCTTCAGGACGGAAGCTGGTAGGAACTCCTGGTAGATATATGTAGCCATGGTCCCTAGCAAAGGGGACAAGCGAAATGACTGATGTGGAGGCAGCCATATCAGAAGAATTAGCAAAATGAGTGTCTTTTGGAGGGAGTGCTGTAGAAATGTGTGGAGTGTGCAAATCCTTTCCAATCCTGGAAGGTAGGATCGCGTGGCTGAGCACTACAAGCGAGTGTGGGAATGGTTTCGGTGTCTGCAGAACTGGTGGAGATATGTCAAAAACCAGAATGCCATACACAGGCACTTAAGAACTTTATTGGCACTTAACCTGCCTCCTCCTTTTTCTTTGCTATTGACAACTTGTTCTTGTGCGAGGGATGACTGCCAACATTGCTGGCTGTCCTTCTTCACATGAGGGCTATGGTCTTCACCTCCATTCATCAGCTACATCCATGTCCACCTCACCAAACACCTTTGGTGTGTGACATTGGTCCCACGTTAATGAGGCCTTTGATCAGTAGCACATGTATCATATATTTCTGTCAACCGAAGACCAATCAATGACATGTGGTGGATTAACCTCATCTTCTCCTCTCATGCGCAGCCCATTTCAATGGAAAGAGGGTCATCCACTGGACCACATAGTGATAGTAGCTTCTGGAGTCATTGCAAGTGCCAGTGGAATGTGAAACACCATAAATCCCACCTCCTTGTCAATTGCATGACAGACCCCAAGACTGCCAAACTTCAAATAGTGTACAATGCATGTCACTGTTGCTTCAGGTTGCACCAGCATCTGATCTAGTGTATTCATTGTAGTGTGATGGGACTTGACATGACTTTTCGTTGGTCAAGTATCTTCGCTGAATGGGAATGGAAACACTTGTAAATCTCTAGTCTAATGAATAGAGACTGCCAGTTCCAGGAAAATCTCAGGGAGAAATCCAAGTACTTCTGGCAGCAGCATTTACATGTACATGTGCAGAACAGCCTGTGAAGGCCATTAGTATTTGACATCTATGATCCCACTTCTGTGTCTGATGGACAATCGATGGAGACATGTATCAAGTACATTAATATATATATGTGTACAAATGAGATCTTTAATGCCTTAGACATCCATTGAAGAGTGGTCAGATCCAGAGGGCAATGGCATGGGGGACTTTTGCTTATGCTTATCTTTCAGCCTCTGAGAGGCTCTGCACTGATTCACAGTCCCTCCCTCTCATCTCTTTCCCTTATCACGTCCCTTGCGCTTGCTACTCACCCCACCACTGCAATGACCTCCTCCAATGCCATCATCTCCCTCTCCCTGCGCCTTTCCCTTGCCTTTATCTGCAGCATTGCCTTGTAGATGTTCCTTGTACGTGTATCTGACTGTTTGAAGTTTGAATTCAGTAGATGGGGAAAGACAGTATCCCTGTGCTTACAGTCAGGGTCCTCATCCTCCACTGGATCATAGAAGTCCACCATCACATCAATCAGTTCCCACACCACATCCACAGTCTTCATCTTCTCATCCATTTCAAACTGAGTCCAGCTCCCATACCACATCTCACCCAGGGCGTGCTCATGGTGAACCCAGTCTGTGGTATAAGTATGTGAATGGCAGCAAAAGGTTGCAAGGAAATCGAAACACTTACTAACCTCTGAAATGCTGGTGTGGTTGATGTTGTGGTCATTGTTGCATCTATAATTCCTCACCTGGGCTGGTTCATGGTGCTGCATGAAATATTCTATCAATAAGTAGTTGTCGAATGTCAGACTGTGCCAATCAAGTGTGCGATCTCTGCATTTGACTTTCTTTGCCTCCACAACTACTTGAACAAAAACCCTGTTCATATATGTGAGGATCATGGTCAGATTCTCCACCAGTGGCTCTTCCACCTCCACCTCCTCCTTCTTCTTGAAGCGAAGCACCAGCTGGATTGCCTTTTCTCTCCAGGTGAAAGCCTGAATAGGCTTGTAGTAGTGATGGGGGAGCTCCACAACAACTTTATTGTCAGCATGGGTGACCTGGCATGGCCAGATGGACCCTTTGGAGCCTCTTGGAGCCAA